CTGCCTTGCCGGGGAAAGAAAAAACCAGCCAGATGGAGTTCACTACAGTCAGCTCAGAAAGCGCAGGGTAACGTGCACCTGGGGAGTGTGAAGGCTGACATAATCTCGTCAATTTACACAAACAGCCGCACCAACTCTTTGCTAGAATTAGGCTGGCTAATAGAAAAATTCTTGAGAGCGGCTTGTATCAGAGAAACAGGTCGGTACGAGCTAAATGGCAGCAATCCCGAATGTGTTTCTGCAGGCTTACACTTCGGTTTCTCCGGCACGACTCGCCTGAAAATGAACGCAGTTCCTCTCCCCTTGCAAAATACAAACCAATTCTTGTTATAACATTAACGGGGTCTAAAACAATCTGGAAGGCAGCTGCTCCTCAAGTTACTTACCGGGACCTAAGAGTTCAGATTTTGCTTTTCAAAGCTATAAAAGTGTTTTGGCTGCCACTAGTAATTCAGGAAAATAAGCCGTCTCTAGCTCTTGAGGGCCCGAGGCAGGCACCTGCACTGTGCCTTTTCCCCTGCCATGGTGACTTCCCTGTTTTTTAGGAAAAACAACCAAACTTTTCACTGCCTCCTGCTTTTGTACCCATGTCCCAAACCCGTGCGAGATCCAAACACATGTATTACCCTCCCAAACGTCTTCAGTCATTGTCTGGTCTGCAGGTTTGCTCTTCTGCCTTAGCCGTACTGAACCTGCAAATAGAACTTGTTGCTAGAAGACCTCAAAAGCACAGACATCATTAATGTTACCTGACTGTACAGGCAAGAGACACAAGGAAGTGGAATGACCTGCTCCATCTTGCTAGGCAGAACAATAGCAGCAGAGTCCTAAATCAAGATCCTGTGTCTAAGCAACATTAATCCAAACTCGGAATGCCTCATGAATTTACACGTCAGCTGTGTGTGTCTTAGTCCTTTTCTCTGTACAGCAGATAATGGGTGGAAATGTTTCCCTAGCTCGTCCAGCGTGTGTCTGAGCTGACCCGGGGTGTAGGATGGGGACAAAGAGCGCTGAGCAGTGCTGTTGCCTATCACTTTCTGCACTGTTCTCCCCTTGGCTTTCTGTTACAAAGTCAATGAATTTGCATTCTGGGTTGCATTTCCCCACCAGGCATTCAAAACTGAGCTATCAGAAGAGAGCAGGGAAGTGTCCCACCTCTCCCAGTGCTTCTGGGGGGGCGGTGGTAGAAGTCTCTACTGGTGTTACAAACGTTGGCGTTCCCCGTTTGAGGTACTGTATGGTTCTGTACTTTTCCCTGTACATCTCTCAACCATTCACTCTTCTGTGATGCTTCCTTATAAGAATCATGAAGCACTTCCCTTCCTTTTCTTTATGAGAGTCTTCCTCAGCCAGCTAAAGACAGAAACACTTAAAAAAATAGGCAACGTTGTATCAAAGTGACTATTAAGAAGCCAGTGGCAGGCAAATCCAGCTTTGGAAGTACCTTTAACTCCTTTTGAATTGGCTGTGTTCAAACTTAGTACCAAAAATTATCAGCAACCACCTAATTAAGCCAAAATACGCTGGACCTAATGGATGGACAGCAGAGAAACCAGGGTGGCTGAGTGGTTTCCCTCTGCTTACGAGATGTCTGAATCGGAAGTGATAGCGAAGTCAGGTTGCTGTACTCCTAGACCTATGTCTCGACGGCTGCCTCTACATTTCTAATTCTGTAATGATGCTGCAATAGGTCTTGTTTCCTTCAGGTATTGGTATGATTCTCATTTCTCCTCTGCTTTATCACTAATAGCTCAGGAGAAGCTTAGCAAGAACAACTACAGTTTAAAGAAATATATGCATACATGAAAGTACTGCACCCGATAATTTGAGGAGATTCACCTCCAAACGTGTAGAGATTTATAACAGAGACTTGTAGCTAGGTAATTAATATTCTCTAGGAGTGCTCATTTCTCCAAATTGATTACAGAACAACTCTTCTGACCTTAGATGGGTTTCAGAGCGTATGATACAGTTCATCCTAAAAGTGCCTGCTTTTCTCCTTCCCATACAAAGTGTCTATGCTCAGATGTAAACGTCTGTAGCGGAGAGCTCCGAAGTTAGGCTAATGAATTCTACCCTGTCTTTCCACGTGACAGGTTTAGGTCTTCAAAAGCATTTCGTATAAAGAAAATAGTACGGCGCTCTGACGTCCTAGAGGAAGGATACTTGAACAAAGACACTCACACTGTAGAAAATGGGCATCCTAAAAGCCGCAGTTGTACTTTTGCTTCCTTAACTGGTTCGGTTGGGAAGTGCCTTTTATGAGCAGTGATAACCAAAAATGTTTTGGAGTCTTCACTCCCTGAGGATAGATTGAACTGACATATGCGGTACAGTCTAAAAGCAATAATGTACTGGCCCCCCTCGCTGGCATTTAAAGTTTCTCCCCCTTCTGACTGATGAAAACCCCCTGAATGCGAGGGGGGGTGACTGCTGCCTTGCTGGCATTGCTGAGATGTCACAGCTCCTGTTACAAAGGTTTCTCCCACTCAGAGCTATGCTGCCTAAAGCCTCATCAAGTAAGAGCACTGAGAGCAAGTGCCAAAAGCAGGACTGCAGAGGATTTTAAGATTCTGTATCCTCCAAGAGTTGCCTGAAGAAGACAAGGCTACACACGAGATATTTAAGCAGCCATTTAAAGGGACACTGCTGAAAATTGCCCTGCTGTTTGAAGGCATCTGCCCCGTTTTCACAGGTAACACGTAAGATGATTATCACAGAAAAATATGAGATGATAGGGAAAAACATTCTCCCTATCTCTTCCCTCACCACTTCTCCACACACTTACCAGCGCTTTCTACACTCACTTGTGCTGCTTCACTTAAAAGACAGCAATTTGTCCTTCTTCTCTATGGAGCTTGAGAGAGAAACTTTTAATTTTTATATAGGAAAATATGATAATAAAGCATTACTTGGCAGGAAGTACCTCGGGCTACTCAGAATCTGACAGCTACGTTTGAAATCAAAAGTCTTATTTTAGAAAAAATAATGGTCGTCTTTGAAGTATATTTGAAAAAATTAATACAAATCTTGTGAGTTCACCTGTCAGTATAAGGCCTCTGAACTTCCCAGGGCTTCCGGTCTTCCTGCCTGGTCAAAAGAGAACAGACCCATCCTTCATTCCTCTAGGTAAAAAAAAAAAAAAAGGAAAAATTCTCTCTCTCTTTTGTCTCTTCGGTTCCATGTCAGAAGCATATGCTGGATGTCCATTTTGACATCCATCCACCAAATGATCCATGAAGAGTGGTAATGGAACTATAGATACTGAAGTTCAACATTGCAAATCACGGTGCTGATGCAAAGAAACGATGGCGATTTCACAAAGAATTTATAAACCTCTTCTACCTGAATATTGTCACTGCAGAAAATAGTCACCATAAGCTCAGGCCCCGAGGCAATGAATATTCTCTTGCACATGGAAAAGGCTACGCAGTGGTGTTGAAAAACCTGATGTCTACTTAGTGTTGAGTGAAAGCTGGCTTAGGTTCTCAGCTGGAGCTGCTCCAGGCTGCTTCATAGTGACAGCGATACTCGGGGAATGATGTGACTCTTCAGTATGCCTGGGAAATTGGCAATGGGCGGCTCCGTGTTAGCCAGTGTAAGTAAATACCCACTGAGTCAGTATTAGCTCGTGCAGGTTCCTTTCCCATCTTGTGTATCCTCCTGGAAGATGTCATGCTAGGAAAAGCTGGACAGCTTTCGAGAGCCAGAATTCACTGCGAAAGCACAAATCTCTAACAGCTCTTCCATTTTGTGAAAAATAAACCAGCCTCCCGCTCCAAGGGAATACACCTTCCTTTTCCTTCCCGACCATTCTTACATGGACTTATTTTATCCCCTGTCAACTATATAAATGGATTTGTCTTTCTGAAGGATGACCGTGTGTAGCTCTACACCTGTTAACCATCCTCAGGTCCAGGTCCACAAAGCGACTTGGCCTTCAGGTTAGGCGCCCAGCTCCAAGAGTGGGCATGACAGTTTGGTTACGGTATCCAAGCTTACTTCACTGTGTGGTATAAGCAGTGCTTGAAGCAGCCCAGAGACACAGGAATTCAGGATTTTTCTTCGATAGGAGACTGCCCTTTTCATGTCCTCTCCTACCTGTAGTTTTTGGTCTCTCTTGAAGCCTTTATTCCTTACTTGGTGGCCCGAGCCTTCTATGGGAGGTGTGGGGAATGGCAGAAGACAGTCTAAAGTAATTTTCCCACTTCCTGGCAGTGTGTCTAGGCATTACATATAAAGCACAAAGAACTAGATCATCTCCTTTGCTGACAGTTTAGTTTCATTCAGAAATAATCTAAAAGCTGTGCATTGTGCTGCCCTTGGGATAAAGATGCTTTCTGGATCAAGGTTCCCAAGGATTTAGACGCAAGCATGCCTGTCTAACGAGTCTGAAACAGGTGGAAGAAATAAAAATGTACTGAGTTTCAGCACAGTTCAGACAGTGGTTCTTGTTGGCTCACGTAGGAGCAGAACGTAGGAAGCTGAGGACTAAGTACCTGGTGTGTGTCTTGTGAACCTCCAAATGTTAGACATCTAAATTCTACAAAAGTGAAATTTAATTGTATAAAACCTGTTGAGTCTGGGTGTCACTGTATCTCCTCTCTATACACAGTGAAATGATGTAATAAGATTCTAGTCTCATGGCTCTAGTGAGAATATGAAATATGAGCCACTTGCTTCACAGAAGTAAGGCTTTACTTAGCTGGACTGCTTCTTACAGAATAAGGCGCAGCACTCCACAGGTAAGACGCTGAAATTCCGCTTTGGGCTTAAACATTTGCCTTGGTTCTGCTTTGGGAATTCCTCACGCAGCATGTGGCTGAGCTATGGAGCTCCCCGCCTCAGGACACTGTGCGTGCAAAAAGTTTACCCAGGTTTAAAAGGCTAAGTGGATAAACTAATTGAGGAAAAATCCATGAAAAGCTATTAGATACAAAGGCAGCACTTCTGGTGCAGGAAAGTTGCAGTCTCTGTGTCTGTCTCCTCCCTTCCCCCAGTCACTACGTTCTTGCCCTGTTTTATTACTTTTTCTGAGTCGCCTGCTGCTGGCTGTATCAAAGAGATACCCTTCTAGATGGATCCTTAGACTCATCCTCTGCAACAGTTTGTAGGTTCCTGCGCGAGGGGAATTGCAGACTGAAAGTCATTTGTAGCAGCAGCAGGAGCAGCACAAACATAGTTTTTAGTGTAAGTACACTTACAGCAGTTTCCCTTTGGCTTATTAACTCTATTGACTTCAAGAAAGTTATTCCCGATACGCCCTAGCGTGAGATCACACGAAGGCATGCTTGCTTCCTTCAGGAACAACACGGTATACCAGAAAGGTCTATGGAGATAGAGAAAATGACTAATTCCAGAGGAAAAAGAAGATGTTTAGAAAGATGTAATTAGGACTGAGGCAACCACTGGATTTTTTTTAGTGTTAAATTCAAGGAACCTGACTTATGTAAGCACTCTAATAATTCAGGGAGAATTAATTCAGTCTGCATTACTCTTTCTCGGGCTGGTTGGTTCCTAGACTGTAAAATAAGCATTTTTTTTTACTGAGTAATTTCAAAAGAAATCAATACAATATATGCTTATGTCAGTGCTCACAAAATCTCACTCAGCTACGGTTTACTGAATCTGCTGAGTACAAATGGCTGCAAATAAAACTTCCGACATGCACAGACATGGTAAGTGTGTCAGTATTTCCATAATAGTTGTCACATAATTTTGGAAGATCTGTTGATCCTTAAGCATTTGATATGGCTTTAAGCTGTGGGAATTTGATCTACTATATTTTTGTAATTCTATTGAAGGGACCCTGCATCTTAAAAATTATTTTTTAAACAGTTTGCTCAACTGTTCTTCCCCTATGAATAAGCTTTTCCCCCTTTTATTCCCCCCCCCCTTTTTTTTCTGAATAAAACAGTTGAATGTACTTTTTTCTGCTTATATCATATATTGATTATTCTCTGCCCTCAACCTGTTCTAAACAATATTAATCAAGAAATTTTCTGGTTTTTTGTCTTCTAAACATTGCAGATGTCTAAACATCTTCTAAACATTCTAAATTTATCTTCTAAACATGGAAGATATGTATTTGTAGTCACTTATAAAAGAGTTTTAATATAGCTTTCTTGCACAAATCTGCCTAAGTTCTACTTGAAGCAGTTTTACAGCAGCTGCAATTTAAAATACCTTTACAAATTCACCAATAAGTGGACTGTAAGTCATACTGCACAAATGCAAGCCAACAGTCAGTGTCCTATCATGCTAAATGCTTTGAAAACATAGAGAAATTCAAGTTCTCAGAGCCAAACAATTTACGTTTGAAAGGGATGATACCCATCAGTAAGTGTTCCAAGAAGGGAGTGCTGGGTATCCAAAAACTGTTGCCAACCAATGCATTAACTGACCTGGTGCTGCGGCTGAAGACTGGAAGCACCGTGTTCAGTGCTACGTGGGCCCATGTGATTGGCCGTCATGTTCAGAAAAGATAACATTTCTTGTCTTGGATCAGGCTTTTCTGTCCCTTCTGCAGGGAACATCTGAATGCTGGGGGGGAGGGGGGTTCTGACACAGCTAAGAGGTGTGATAATTAGAGGAAACAGTCACCTTGTTTTCACACTGTCTTCACACAACTTTCTATGGGCTTGCAGTGGAATCTAAAGCTGTTCCTACGTCCATCTTTCTGAAAAGGGAAAGAATGTTTGATATTTGCTTAGATCTTGAAAGTAACTAACTGACATGTTTGAAGTTCAGGAATGGGTGCCCAAAACCAATATAGAAACACTGAATAATTTAGGTTGCAAGGGACTTCTGGAAGTCATGTAGTCCAGCTCCTGCTCAAAGCAGGTACAACCTGATCAAATGGCATTGAGTCTTGTCCAGTCCAGTCTTAAATACCTCCAAGGATGGAGATTCCACATCTTCTCCAGGCAACTTGTTCCAATGTTTGGCCAAGCTCATGGTGAAAAAATGCCCTTGTATCTGAGTGGATTTTCCCATATTGCAACTAGTGTCCATTGCCTCTCACCACTATCGCTGTGCACCTTCAAGAAGAGTCAGGATCCATCATCTCTTTAGACTCCTTTAAGGTATTTGGTTTGAAGCTGCGCCAGGGCAGGTTTAGGCTAGATATTAGGAAAAACTTCACCGAAAGGGTTGTCAGGCTCTGGAATGGGCTGCCCAGGGAGGTGGTCGAGTCCTCCTCCCTGGAGGTATTTAAAAGAAGGATAGATGAGGTGCTTAGGGACAGGGTTTAGTGGTGGGATGGCAGGGTTAGGTTAAAGGTTGGACTCGATGATCTCAAAGGGCTTTTCCAACCAAAGTGATTCTGTGATTCTATGATTCTAAATGGGCCAGTGCAGGCAGGTATGTCAGGTTGGCACTTCAAAGAGTCATGCTGGAATGGAACCAAGTAACTCTACAGAAGATCCTGGATGATGTGTTTGTTTGTTTTCCACACTGATTCCAAAGGTTCACAGAAGTACCTAAATTTCTGTGCAGCCACTCCCATGAAAACCACAGAGCAAAAGAAAATGCTCTATGATTTTCAGTCTCGCTTTGTGCGTAATGAGAATAAGCCAACTAAAAGAGTGTAGGCAGCAGAAAAATATCCAAAGCCCTCTGTAATTGGCCTGGAGAAGATTTTTCTAATACAGCCACTGAAGGCCATAGACTAAAACTGCCCCTGGGGGATTCTGAGCCAATATGTGTTTGCTGGGAGTGGGTACAGAACGGGGAGGAGACGGCTAACGCTGTGGGCCCTGCTGCGGTCTGTAGGACAGCCCAGTGGTATTCACTGACCCAAGAGCCTTGAGATGCACCAAAGGTTTCCATAACCCTTAGAGCAACTTGGCATCAGAAGGGACAAATAAAATGGTTTACAGCCCCCCCCCCCCAGTACTTGTTCTGTGGACTGCAGGAGTCCGAACGCTGTATTTCAAGAATACAGCCCTTTCTGGGAAGGGAATCCCCTTCATTTGCTTTCCGATGGAGGTGTCCCGCAAACAGAGACATTAAAACTTGAAATTTGCGTTATTTCAAATATGAAAAATGAAGGGGAAACATACAATGTCCCAGTAATCTATCACACATTCGTTAGGTATCACAAGGGAGGAAAAGCGCTTACCTCCCTCAATGTCACACTTAGAGCTTACAATGCATGACTAGAAAATATCACTGCATTCATGTTCCTTGTGGAGATCAGATCTGATACTTGTGGCTGGAGCTGAAGTGCTCCATTGCTGCACCAACAGAGAAAGAACAATCTGGGACGAGTAAAAGAAGGCAATAAGATACTTTAACCAAGTGATCTCTTCAAAGCAGCCCTATTAGAAAGACACTGGACTGTGACTCCTATTTTTAGTAAGGAATCATATTTAATGTCTAATGTTAATCTGTCCTCTTGGCCAGTTAATACCAAACATAATTAATGCTAGATGTTTGTTTAAAAAAAACAACGACGAACTCTTTTGGTACTAGGTAATGATAGTCCCAGTCATTTAGCGTGAGAGATAAGCTTTGAACTTTCACTCTTAGCTATACCACAAAGTTCCATTACAAAGTGTTTGAGGAGAACAAATGAAATTAAACCACCATCGCTGTATTTTAGGTTTTGCTGGGCTTTGAAGCGTCTGGGGACTTTTCTGCTTGGCTGTTGATTAAAATCATAACCTTTCGCCAAAGTGCCATTTGATCACGGAAATAAACTGCTCTTTCCTTTTCAGAGCTGTAGCTAAACCACTGCTTGGAATATTAAAATGCAAATATGTGGTTACTAACACAGGTGATCTGAGAGGCAGGAGTAACACTGAATGTTCCTGTAACAACCTCTTAAGGATTTGTGAAGTCCAGATCTTTAGCTACATCTGTTCATTATGTCCGCCAGTATTTTCCGCTCTTTACGATTCAAATATTCTGGGAACAGTGCACATTAATCTTCAAGCTGTATGCACTCAGAATATTTACTTACATGCATATATCTGCACATTTAATTTTTTTCCTCAAACTGTTTAGTTTTACAAATCATAAAAATTCTGTTCCTTAGTGATTCCTGTGAAACTTCTCTATCCCTTATTTGTTCCTTTTGCCCTAGCATAAGAAAATAGCCCAGACCAATGTGTTTTGATCAATCACTTAGCTACTTCTGCTTCTGAATATATCCAGGGAGACAATTTACTTGGCAGGAATATTTTGTTTTTGCAAGTTGAGTGCTTTGAGAACCTGGCTACGACTAAGGCTGTCTCTTGAGCACATTGGCAGTGTTTTTATCACAGGCCACAGATCAGAGGAAAACGGTGTCTCCCTCTGAACAATGACTGTGAATTTGGGAATCAACTAAGAGTTTGGAGATTATTTAACCAGTAATTAGTAATTATCATTTTGTGTCCTATCAGGTGGAAATCCTTGATTGGAAGACAAAGAAACAGCTATGCTTCCTAGATAAGGTAAAACAAAAATCTGTTTAAAATGCTAGGTGGCTATTTAAAAATGACTAACTTCTCTTAAGTAAACATAATGTTTATGAAGGGCCTTTCATCTCCTGCTAGCCTTTCTTTGGCCACCGAAGAGGCAACAATTACACATGCTTCATACTGACCACAGAGTGCTTCAACCCTTTTCCAGAAGGAGCTTCTGGGCAAAGAGCAGAGCTTCGGCTGCTTCACTGAGATGGTGCCAGTTGTGCCTTACTCACTCATATGCTGTCAAACTGTCACTGCTGTTGTAGTAACTCTTGATCACTGCTAGAGAAGCTGCCTCTGAAACAGATGCCGCAAACTGTCCTCCCTTTTCCCCGAAAGAAGTGCTTTGAATCCATCTGTAAGAAAGTTGCACTTTTGCATTGCTTGGGTCGCATTTCTACTTGCATAGTCTCACACCTAGTACTTGTCTTTCAAAATCTGCATCTTACATATACCATATTTTTTGTTGCCTAGGTGGAACCAAATGCCACAATTAGAGAGATCAGACTGATGTTCCATAAATTATGTGAGTACAATTTTTGCAGCAGTTCACATCACATCAGAATATCCAGTATATAAATAGGAGAAAATGACATAATTTGAAATTTGTGATGTACACACACATAATGCAAAGTAACCTGCACATGAATGCGCTCACAGTGAGATTTCAGTATTGGTTTTTTATGCTATCCTGATACACCTTTGTATTTTTATTTCTGCTGCATAATTTCTCACAGATATTCACGTTGAATAAATAGTCCTAAAAATCTTTAACTAAATCTTACCTTGTTGTGTTGCATTCATTATAATAGTGGATGATCTAAAACAAATGTTGTATATCACACAATTCTGTATGGTCTTACAGATCCTCGGTGGTATCCAGCAAGGCAGTCGATAAAACTTGATCCAAGTAAGTACTTGTGAGGACTGGAGTGACACGGCTCTGAGCAGGGGCCTGGCGTGGAAGGTGTACTTTGCATGGGTACTGCCTCTTAAGAATGAGTTTCTGGCTATGTTAATTAGCACTGTGAAGGCTGAAGAGAATCCAGAACAAATTTAATTCTTTGAAAGCGTTGAACAGAGTTCCACCCTTGTGCCTGGTGCTTGGTAATTAACTCAGGAGTCTGCACATTGTTCCGATGCACTTTCTAACTACTGAGCACTTTTGCTTTCAAGACAGGCAGCACAGAACCTAGATACTCATTTCCCTTAGCTGCGGTGAAATGATCTCCACAGCGATGCTCAGCTGGGAGTACTAAAAAGGGCTATGAGTTAGAGCTATCAATTCACATAATCCTCTGCTCTCAGGCAGGAATTACAGTTCTTTTGAGGTAAGCTAATGCAAAACACATTGCCATGGATGTAGGATTTGCTGACAAAGCTGATGCCAGCTGGCTGACTTCATTAATGCAGTTGTAGGTATTGCTGCTGGAAGCCTCTTAGTACATGGCCTGAGTGCGCAAAAGAAAGTCTAATTGCCAAACTGTGCTAATCCATCTCAGCATTCAGTACAAAATGTAGCACTTTCTTCTTTTGCATCCATTAAGCATAATTTTATTTTAAAAGTCCCTTGAAAGTATGCTGGTGAAGATTAGTTCATTGTGTAGAAACTGTCCATGGAAAACAGGAGTAAGAATATCTGATTTCCTTCTTCAAAGATCTACCTTGTCAGATTCCTCCATGGACTTATGTTGTGAGACTTGCTGTGAGATAATGTTGGCTTTCTGGAGATTCCCCTGCATCCAGGCGTTAAAAGCTTGAGTACTGGTCCTGTGGAGCCATCTCCTAGTGGGTTGGTTGGGAAAAAAGGAGACAATGAGAACCTCTGTATGATTCTGTTTGTCTGACGATGAGCAATGAGGAGAGGGGAAGAGAGAGGAGCGAGATGGAGGTGCAGCTAACGAGGAGGTCAGTGAGCTACGTTAAAAGGGCAGTGACCCACCAACAAATTCCACTGTAGCAGTGATGGCACAAGTCTACTAGACTAGGCAGGCACACAGGATTGAGAATTCTCCTAACTGTCTTGGTGTGAACAGAGGATCCAGGCTTGTATGTGATTACTGGGATAAATAAAAATTAAGTATAAACATTCTTAGTTTGTTTACTGACATTCCGATAAACCCACATCACATCAAAGAATCTCACAGACTGGTTAAAGCACGATACAAAGCTGACTTGAATTTCACTGAGATGTAATTACTTCTTTCCTTCTCAGAAGGAAAGTCCCTGAGGGATGAGGAAATCCTGCAGCACCTCCCTGTTGGCACAACTGCTACTCTATACTTTAAAGATTTAGGGCCACAGATAGGATGGACTACGGTGAGCTATGCATCAAGCCTAAGCCATTTTAATGGCTATTCTTCCATAATTAATCCTCACATCACTTTTTGTCTCTCTCCAATATTTCTGCATGATGCCTGCTCTGATAGTGGATGCAGGCAACGAATCCTCATTGCTTCAGTTCATTTAATCAGGGAAAGCAGTAACAGAATATTCTGAATGCCTAGTTCCCTGGGAGAGCAGCAGTGGAAAACTTGTTGCAGGGTAGATTGGCTCTACTGAACTAAGGTGCAGGTTCTCAAATGGATTTAGATGTCTACTGCAAAATCGCTAGGAACTGGGCGTCTAAATGCCTTTGAGGATCTGGTTCACAGGGCCTGCGTTACTCTCCTGACAAAGATCAGGATTATGCTCCTACGAGTTTGTCCTGCAAAGAGGCATGTGAGCAACTTCAATGTCAGTAACTGAAGTGACATGGCTGCCTCCCAGGATGCCAGTGGCAAGCTAATGACAGCTGGTCACTTCTGCAGTATCGGTAGCCATCCATAAAGACCTCACCTATTTACTGTCTTAGCTCGAATGCAAATCTTGCCACAACTCACCTGGCAGGCGACCCAGCACTGCTGTTGATGCAGTGAGGTGGCCAATGACCCTTCCAGCTCTTCATGAGGTCCACAAAGCATGTCACACTAGTTCTAACAAAACAGCACAGCATGAGGGGAACAGTGCCCTGTAATTTAAAGGCACATTTACCATTTCTTAGCTGCGAGACATTAATAAAGTCTTGTGTCAATGACAAATAGCAAAGACAACATACATAGGACTTACTTAAAATAAAAAAAAAGTCCTGCAAGACTGAATCTTTACATCATTACTTTGGATGCAACACTGATAAATCAGGCAGCTGTTACGCAATCCAAAACCCAGTAAGACCCAGTAAGGCAAACTTCTATGGCAGTGTGGACTCCAAGACACATAAGCATTAATACATAACGACGTATCACAGTGCAGAGTAACACCAGACTTCTGCCATACCATACTCTTTCCTTTACCTTCTGCTCTCCCTACCCTTCAAGCTACTTCATTCAAAAGTAAGCTAAGAAATACTTCAGTCTTGTGAAATAAAAGACAAACTTCTTATCTGCAATCAAATCCAATCTTTGCCAGAGAAAATGCTGAGTGCTACAGAAGTTGATGACACAACTTTTCTGCATGTCAAAATAACTCTAAATACATTAGAAAACAGTGGTTGGTTTGGTTAGGTTTGGTTTTTTGACAGACGTACAATCAATTTCCCTTCTTTCTCCATAAATGAGGGATGGGCCTACCTTCCTCGCTTACAGAAGTGCGGAAAATTCAACTGTTGTTTGGTCCAAAGTTAACTTCAATTTAAAGTGATGTTCCTAAGAAATACAGACCTATCTGAAATGAAACGAAGTTAGGTAATAGATTCTTTGGTTTCCTCTCTTTTTTTTTTTTCTTTGTGTTCAAATTAAAGATTGAACATAGAATGAATTATTGTTTCCTGGGACATCTGCTGTGCTAACTGTTCATACAGATGGTGTCACCTGTGAACACGTACAAGCTGTGTTTCCAGTTCAAACAAAATTCATTCATTACCAACAAAGCTCCTCTTTTTCAAGATACATTCTTCACCAAATGTCATTGTAACCCAAAATAACGCCACAGTTTTTGAGGGCAAGAGGAGGGCGAGAGCTGCATAAATGTAACATGCATGCCTATTTACCATGATCTCTGGGCTGCCGTGATTCTTTCTTCATACCCGTACTGTGTCAGCTGCATTGGCAATGGCTGTTTGTATGCAACCGAGGCAAATGCATTGCAAAATGTTTACATGCATGTCTACCACTTCCATAGCCCAAGCCCAAACCTGCTGTTCCCTCCCCGCCTCTCTAAACGCCACCCTGGGGCAGTGGAGGTGTTTATCCCACTGCATTAGTTGTCACAAAGAAACCAAAGCAAAGCCATCATCTAATTCAGCTGTCTAATTTTTTTCTCTCTTTTTGCAGGTATTTTTGATAGAATATACAGGTCCATTGTTCATCTATTTTCTGTTTTATTTCCGCATGCCTTTTGTCTATGGACTGGATGAGAGGTTTACATCAAGCCCGCATCCAGTAGTTAAGTAAGTCTGTTTGCAGGCTTGAGCAGTATTTCTTGTTAGCATTGTAGTCTTATTCCAAATGTCTTGCCACACTTGTTTTTTTAAGCACTCTTAAATGCTTTTGTCTTGCTGTTTCTAGCTTGGCATGTATCTGCCATTCTTTCCACTACATCAAAAGGTTGATTGAAACAGTATTTGTTCATCGGTTCTCCCATGGGACTATGCCACTGAGGAATATTGTGAAGGTAAATTGTGTCAGAATCTATCCATAGCCCCCCTTACAAATCCAACCTCGCCAACCTATGCTCTGCCTCTGCAGCATGGAGTTTTTGGTGTGGCTTTTGTAGTAATGCACAGCAAATCTCACCCATAAACCTGTAGTTCTTTCAAAAGACTTCTTAATGTCGCTATTGTATAACCCACATGTTGCCCTACTGTTATGCATGTTATACTATTCTCATTGCTCTCTTAGAATTTTAAATTTTTAAAAATTTAGAATTTATTTTTTTTTAACCCTTCCTTTTCACTCAGCTAGCTCCTTGGGCGTTAAGGTTTCAGTAACGATGTTAACTTTTTAAGGTAGCACAGGCAGGCACAATATTGGGAGGGATGCTTTTTTAAAAAAAAAAAATCTACTTTTTGTAACAGTCATTTTACATCTTCCTTTGCCCCTACCACTCTCTTTGCTGTTGAGCAGCTGTTCATTTACCTTAGATCCAGCACAAAGCAGCCTGGTTGTTCTGCATTTTCTTCTCCCTGATGTTACGGGTGCGGCTGTGGCACAGGGCAGCTGTTGAGGTGCGGACCCCCCATTTCCTAGATGGCTGCGGAGCAGCGCAGTGGGCGGCGTGGTTATGCACGGGCTGTAGTTCTGTTACAAATGTTTGCAGCAGAGTACACACCGGTATTCAAAAATGTGCTTTATACTCAGGAAGACATGAGATACCATCTACAACTGGAAAAGCGTATAGAGTAGTATCTGCATCTGGGTATTTAATGTTTGGTATTTAGGCAGTCCCTTGGAATTTGCATTATGGCAGTGATACTCCCAGCAGCTGAAGCTCTACCTCGCGGCTGACTCCTTACAGCCCTGCGGTGGCTCTGGTAGTTGTGGTGACAGCTTCATGCTTTCTTAATGGAAGGAGGGTCTGTAATTGAGCGGCAGCCCTCAGAAAGAATCCTCCCTAGCAATTTACTGTGTTTTCTGCAGCAGAAGAGTGCAGGGGTTGTTCAAAGGCTAGCAGATCTCTTACAGACTTGTTCTTGACACAATAATAGCTTGTGTATGCTAAACTGAAGATAAATGAGCAACTTTACCTTGAAAATAATCTGTACAGTGTGATAAGTCTTCATTTTCTCTGACAACTACTCGGTCCTTTCCGACCATGCAGACTGTTCTTGCTAGAATTGACGTTTGTACCACTCATTCTGATCACTTCTGCTTTTCCACCTTCTCTGGTTGGTGGTACTTGTTTTCATTTGTAAAGTTGCTCGCAGTTGTTCTTCTACTCGCTTAGCAGTGCTTGGGTTTGATTTGCTTTTAGAATTTCATTGACTTTGGTGGTATTATTACTCCAGAATTGTGCCAGTGAGAAAAATATCCCATCCTCTTCCCTTTTTTTTCTCGCATACAGATGGCAGGAAAAGCTTCTTACTTTAAGTGACTGATCACGTACATAGCAGATATAGCCAGCTTATTTCCTAAGCGCAGTGGAGAGCTACCTTTAACAAGAGACACTTCAGTCTCAGTAAGCAGAGATCTGAGGCAGGAATTGATGAGATTTGTGATTTTCATCCTTTGCTTACCAACTGGAAATAGGAATAAATGATGCTGTAAAATGCTGCAGGGGTTCACCAAAAGCAGTTCATGCTACATGCTAACATAGTATAATTCTCTCTAAGATACATGATTTGTCTAGGCAATAGAAGGGTAGATTACCTGATTTATCTGGACTTAGTAAACAACTGGCTCAGGGTGAATAAGGTAGGGATGTATACAAAAATTGTGTGGGGATAAAGGAACTAAGCGAAGGAAAGGTGATGGTGGTTGTGCCAGCAAAGGCTCTGACAGACCTTTACTAACAGGGAGGTACCCGTGGAATTCCTCAAAGATTAGTCTCATGACTGGTCTTACTGAATATTTTCATGGGTGAAAAGAAGGGATATTGTCTCCTTCTATAAAGGCACCTGGAGGAAAGAAAACACTCGAGCTAAAGAAATACCATTTAAACCAGAAGATGATGTAATGAGACAAACAGAAGGGCACATGCCAGTCGTGAATAAACATAGGCAGGGCATTAAGAAATAGTTTTGATCACCATAGGGATCATTAATCGGAGTAGAAAAGACAAAAATCCTAACTATAACTTTGAAACTTGGGAGTATTATATTTATGGGATCCCTGCAATATCTGAACTTGATCCACAACATCTTTTTATAAGATATTGTTGTAAAGCTTTATTATGCACCTGGAATATGAAAGATTCACAGAAACAATTTCTTTCTTTCAAGTGAATTTATGAAGTCTGCATGTACCCTGCTGCTCCCATCTGAACCTCACTGGAGGCTTCTGTATGAGCAATAAGGCTTCTGGTGGCAGCTGGACATTTCTAGCGTTACCACTAAGGACCTTCGCAGTGGCAGACTCTGCTCATCTTAAAGCTCCTTTTCTTCTGACTGAGAAATATTCTTGCAGTAAATCATGTTCTTTGGATGAGTAGTGCTTGTTCGCTTTAATTACAGCATGTATTGTTGGGAGCTGAGCCATGATAATTTATTTATTTTATTTCACTTTACTGAAATCCATTGCCATATGATCCATCCTATGCCAAGCCCCAAAGTCAGGGAAAGCTTTTTCATAAGATGCCATGCTGAGATCAGAAGAAACTGTTTCCACCTAAATTTGTACAGCAGTTAGTAAACTCTAGGTGATGGTGGGAGAAGCTAGCGTTAGGGAGGAAGCAGTAGTTTCTGGGTAGGATACTAACTAGGTTGTTCCTCGCTGGAGTCATTCTTCTGGCTCTGCTGCTTTTCCTGGAGGAAAGGGAAGTCATCACAGGGAAGTTACTTAATCTCTCTGCCCTTTTGATCCACCTGGTCTGTAATTAGTGGTTAATAATTTGCTCTTTCTCACCAGTTATCTATTAATGTATAATCTCAGAGCAAGGACATACTATGTGCTTGTGTTACAGCATACCCAGTAGGGTGTCCATTTTGTCTGAGGTCTCTGGGTGCTTCAGTGGTTCAATTAACTCTGAAAAGCGGGTGGAAACGCAACAGAACGTTGGATAGAACCACTTGCAGCAGATGGGGGGGCTTACCCCTCACCAGCATTTTCAGAAAAATGCATGGTCAGACACTGCAGTCAGCTCGTGTGGGTTGCAGACGCTGAGGTAATCACTTTTGGGGGTATTATTGCTAGAAATGCAGTTCTGGTGTATACAGGGGAAAAAGGCTGCAAAAGTCAAAGGGAAAAAAAAAGGTAAACCAGTCAGGAAGAATGCAGCCTTGGATAAGAATTTTGGCTGTGTGAGCAGGAAAGGAAAGCTGTGAAGGAAAAAGCAGAAAGACCTAGAAACGTCTAAGGTACATGAACCTAGTGGAAGGCCAAGAAAAAAGCATCACCAGAAAAAGTATGAGGATCCGTGTTTTACTCAAGAGCAAAAATAGGAGGGAAGGAAAAAGAAGGGGGAGGAAAAGAGCAGGAGAAGTGGTGAAAGGAAGATGGAGAGCTCAGTTTTGGTCTTGCTGAAGTCCAGGTGATAACCAAACATGCCCTAAAACATTAAAAACTGAGGCACTAGGTTTGATAAAGGAAGAAATCTCAACTGGTGAGAGGCAAATTTCTGAGATGTCAATAAGGGTTGAAGTCTGTCTGCAAGAGGACGGCACCTAGAGGCGAGAGCATAGAGGAAGAAGAGGAGTGGGCCAAGAAAGGGCCTCTCTCCTACCTACAGATATAGGAGGGAGAAGATAACCTGCCACCAAGATGCTGAAGCAGCAATGAGGGTCAGAAGAAAAAACTGCAAGAGGTAGAGATTGTAATTGTGAGGGTTTTTTTTCATGGATGAAGGCTGTGAACAAGCTCTGAGACTGGTCAGGAGTGAGTCAGTGCAGCCTTTACTGACAGCTGTGTTACCAGAGTTCAGAGACTGGAAGCGGGATCACAGAAAAGCAAGGGCAGCAGCAGAAGGGACAAACTAAAGGTATTGCAGTGAAAGGGCAGGAGAAAGTGTCAGGCACGATGGCTTCAGGTAGGAAGAGTTAAAACATGGGAAAGAAAGAAAACTGATGGGGTGAAGGAGAAGAGGAAGGGCAAGAGATTGGGCAAAACAAAAATAATAAGCAGGGAAGAGAGCACAGTGCCCTAAATCCAGTTTTGCAAAGTCTCAGGGGTTAGCAAAACGAGCCTCTCTCTAACATACAGTCTGTATGGCACTTCATCTTCGCCCAAATGGCTCCCCAGACAAGATAGATTTGTTTTCAATAGTATGATCGTACTTTCTAAAACTGTTTATGAACTTAAAAGCTCCAACACATTTGAGAGAAAATTTTACTCCACGAGCACTACTTCCTTCCTGTTTTCTCCTGTTGTCTGCTCCCACCTTACCACACTTAGTATTGCCATTTTCTGTGGTATTATCAGCAATTTGAAGGATCAGCCCAATTCATTGTTAGCAGCGGTCCTTGCAGTGAATACTGGCCTAGAGGATTATACTAAAACAAAGAAAAATTCCCTGTTTTTCAGAACTGCTTGTATTACTGGGGATTTGCAGCCTGGCTTGCTTATTACATCAATCATCCTCTTTACACTCCTCCTTGTAAGTAGCAAAACAACCCTCGGTATCATTTAAGTACTTAAGTGTTTGTATATTAGTACTAATCACATGTAAACTTTTTTTTTGTAGCTTATGGAAAAAAACAGATAAATTTTGCTGTGATCATGTTTCTGGTAGGTTTGTTGCTCTTTTTATAAAAATGCTAAAACATGCTGCTTTATTTCTCATGTGGTATAGGGGAGGAGTGAGTAGGATGAGCAGATACTTAAAACTTGGGCACTTGGGATCTATTACTAAAGCTGACCACGTGCATGCAGAACAGATAAATCTGTCAGTTTTTAATGTGATCTTGTACAGAAGGGAAGATTTTGATTCGCATCCGTTCCAAGACCGGGATATTTATGGGATGCTGGGATGATCTCTCATAACCTTTAAAAGAATCCTGGAACTACCAGGTTGTGACACTGTGTTTAAAAGCCAGTGAGTTTGTTCTGTGAACTGTTTATTGAGTGTCAAGAATCACAAGAGATCATAAAACTCAAGAGGACTGGCCAGCTAAGAAAGTACACTGCTGATAATTTCCAGGGATAGAGGTTCATTTTGCTGGGCTTCAGAAATTTTTTACAACTTTCCTTATGAAGCAAAATTCCGAAGTCACTGTCTGTTCATTCTCACAGTTCCTAGGAACATTTCATACATACAGAAGCAACGTTAGTGTAGCCAACAAAGATGTACCCATTTTTCCTATGTATGCGTAACTTCTTTAGAACATCAGCTGTTCACTTGCTTTGAGAAACTAATCATCAGCGACTGCAGGATCTCAGAGCAGCTTCCCAGTATGAAAATTCTGTGAATTCATAATCTACTCCCATTTTATAGAGAGGCTACATAAGTGAAAGTATAGAGCTGGGAATAAGACTCAGGAGCTCTGACCACAAGTCATTTGCATTAATAGTTACGCTTTGCAGACACTGGAGGCTGTCCATAATCATATAAATGGGTCATTTCAATACACTTTCTGCATAATTGATTGGGGAAGCATTACTTAAAACCAGCAGAGGAAGCTGGGTCAATTATATTTCATGATTCATATCAATTATACTCTAGAGAAGAAAACTTAACTTAGAGTCCAACCCCTATCTTCCGTGGGATTTTAATAACTTTTGAGAAACCAAAACTATCCAAATCAATTTTGGGGTGTTTTTAAAGACATAAGAATAACCAAAAGATAAAGCAAGTATCTCCTGGATTTACTTTTATCCCCTTTGGTTTATTGCCTTTAGATCTCAGGGGGATTATGTAAGCAGTAAATTTGATCTTTTGGACACTGAGTCCGCATTTGCTGGCAAATATCATAAATAAATAACGCAGTATAATAGGGACTCGTGTTTGAACAAAGACATTCTATCCTCCTGTCAGACAGCAATCTTGGTTAAGGATATTTATTATGTTTTTAATAGGTTCTTTTCCTTTCTCTTTTTTAAACTACCCCAGGAAATACCAAAAGGAAGAAGAGTAAATAGAAGGGAAGCACATTTTTAATTCTGCCATGCTTTTTCTTGCAGCTGTGTGAAGCTGGAAATTTTTCCATTCATGTTGCACTCAGTGACCTCCGGAGAAATGGTAAAAACTGCATTATCATTTTTCACTTTTGCACAGCCATTCAGTACTTCCACAGTTACTCTACCTCACGAAAGACCTGATCCTGGAGGGCGTTGATACTCGCCAGCTGACTGCTGTGGGAGTGCAGGTTGCTCAGCAGTGTAAAGATTGGATTCTAGGGGAGATCAGACAGTGCAAGGAATCCAACACCAGGCTATTAAACAGCACTTCTTAACTTACTGTAGTTTTTATCAGTTAGGGCCAGCTTGTGTTGGGGGGAGCAGGTATCTTAGTCATGCTGGTAGCACAAAAGGAGACGGTGCTCATACAAGCTGGTAAGCAAGGGAAAGTCATTCCACTGGCTTCTACGGGAGCACAAGATCTCTGTGCAGGGCAGGGTTCCTTCAGCATGAGCCCAATGTCAGCTATGACTGCTAAAATCCCAGTCTGTGACAATCTGACTGAACCCTTGACTTCTAAATCTAAAACTTGAGGTGCCTCTTCTTACAGGAGTGACTGTGATCCAAAGCACACATAGATGACTTTCTAATGCCCAGAACATTTCCTCGCAGTTCTCCTATTCCTTCTTGTGGGTCCAGAGGACATCCTGTTTTCCTACATCCTGCTTGTCCCTCTGGCAGTGATGAGACACAGCAATAGGCAGATTTGGGTTGTCTTTATAGGAAATAATATATTTAGGAGTGTGAATATTTTGTGATTTGTTTTCTAATCTATAGGATCCAAAATCCGTAAGATCCCATATCCAACAAAGAATCCTTTCACATGGCTGTTTTTCTTTGTATCTTGCCCTAACTATACGTATGAGGTATGTATTTTCAAAGATGATGTTAAGATTTTAGTTGTGCTGAATATATTTTCATTTCTTTTGGAATGTTAAACATGGACTAAACCTCTGAAACAGTTCAACTTGATACATTTATTTCCCCTCCTCCCCTAAGCACCATGAAATCAGGTTGTGGCCAGGAGTATGTCTGTTCTTCCTCTCCTCCCTTGAGGTGGTACTTACGGGGCTAACCTGAACCAGGCAGCCCAGCCCCTGGGTGGCTTCAGGATGGCTGCTAGACAAGGGGGAGAGACATTTAAGGCAGTGCGAATTTTGCAGACAGGGAGCTTGCTACTGAACGTGTGTTGCAATGAGGGGATGGGGGCATCCGGTGGATTTATAATATAAAGGAGCCCAGGGATGTCACAGTACGCAGGAAGATAGCAGGCAGACGAATAGAAGATACTGTGGTAGGGAAAACAGGAAATAAGCCCAGGTCTTCTTCCCCATTTTCCTAAGTTATGCAGCCGCTTGTGTTGGTGGTGACTGCTTTAGAAGCTTGATTCAGTTTATCGCTTCACATTCCTTAATCAGGAGCCAAACTCCTGACTCAGTTCAAAACCAGTTAAAACCAGTGCAACTCAGTGTAAAATCCACAGAAGGACAGCATTGGGTTTTAGCTTCAGTGGAGATTAACAGCTGTTAATGAGCATTTGGCCTCAGACTACAGAAAGTTACCATTCCTAGCATTGATGGAGGTGTGACAAATACAAATTAGGCAGAGAAACGTAAAGGACACTATGTTGTAATGCTTAAAATTTTTGTCACGATGATAGCTATGGAAGCAAACGCGAAGGTTTTGTTTGTGATAAGAAGGCACTGCTCACCCTTTTAGCTAAAGGTTATTAACACTAGAAATTGGTCTGGCTGACCTTGGCTTTTTTATTCACCTATACTAGGACAAGGTTGTTTTTGATCAATAGAGACATAAATGCAAATGCTGTCACCAGAAATATTTTAAATTTCCTTGGCCAAAACAGGTGGGGACCTGGATCAGTTTCACTATCATGACTCAGTGTGTTCCAGGTGAGTAATGTTTTGGTACTTGACCCTGAAGTGATGTCAGCAACGAGAGTGTGTTTTTAATCTGACAATGAAACGTGTCCTTTTCTCCCTTCCTTCCAGTGGGGCTGTTCACCTTGCTTTGCTTCATTCAGATGACAATTTGGGCAAAGGATAAACACTGCACCTACCTACGAGAATTCAAGGATTATCCAAGTCTTCGAATGCCAATTATTCCCTTTTTGTTGTAAGAAAAAAAAGGTTTAATTTGAATATTGCAAGGAACTTCAAGAAGAAAAACTCATAAACCTCCTGCCAAATAAGTGAATTAATTTAAAGGATTTTGGTGCATGTTGAATCTCCACTGCTGAGGGAAATTGTACGCACCTGGAAGCTACACTTCGTTACATTCAAGAATTCTTAATGCAGAAGCACCTTCAACAAGTAAGGCTTCATTGCACAGCTGGTAGTCAAAAGCCCCTACAGCTCACTGTAGCCTGATTGACTGAGATTTTCCTGTACTAGTCTATTTAGATTGATGGATCAGAGATACTGAGAAGTCTGTGTTGAAAAGCAGCTCCAAATTTAGCGGTGGCGTTCTGCAAGACCTAAGTAGATTGGAACGAGGACATGCTACTAGAGAGCTCAGCTCAGCCAGCATGGCCAGCTGGCCTGAAGACAGTTGCATGATCCGCCTTCTTGGACTTGAAGAGAGTGTGCTGCCTGGAGGCAGGTGCTTTGTAACAAATAACATTACCAAAGAATATGAGTGGTTCCTGGAATAAAGAAATAGGCAATATCTCAAATACCTGATTTGGTAATTCGCCAAAAGAATCTGAAGTAAGAAGTATTTGTAGTATTTGTGGATGCAACGTCCTGTGTTGTTGGGTTTTTTTGTTTGTTCGTTTTTAGTCTTCTTCATTACTAAATTGCATACTAGTAAATAAGGTTCAGAAGATCTGATCTATGCTACATCTGTGATATTTGGCCCATTTTCACATAACAAGCCCTTATGATACTGAAGGACCTTTTACCTAGCATTTTATGTCAGCATTCTCTGAATAATTTTTAATACACTTTGTAAATACATGAAGCGGCTGCTAGTCCTCAGAATGCTAGCTCCCTTCCTATTTTCAGAGCCAGGGAGAAAAAATCAGCTACATTTTGGACTTCCTGTGTTTTCTTTTTCACAAGATGTTCAGTGGGACTTAGTTGGGTTTTGTGCAAATCTATTAAAAAAAAAAGACTATTGCAATCTGAATGACATTTTAAAGAAGCTATTTTAGAATATGAAGAGAATGCATAGATACTGTTTTGTTTCATGATTAATTTATTTATAATGGCTGTATAGAAAGATTTTTGCAACTATTTGTAAGGGTGAAATATGCAATAAATTCTAGACTATATTTTGAAATCAGTTGAAATAATTATGGCAAAAGAAGAAGACTACAGCTGGTTGCTGAAGGTTCATAATATTTTGTACAGTAAGAAGCAAGAATATCCGTATATAAAAAAAAAATCTACGTCAATTGAAGAAAAAAACCTAACAAAGCAAAAATACATGACCCAGATTTTATTTCTGTATAACATATCTTAGAGAAGATTTCTTAGAAATGGTTAGATCTGGTAGATAACTGAAGCAATATATCATTACGAATTTGTTTTCAGTGTTGTTATTTTCCACTAGTTTAACTGTGAACCAGAGAAAAAAGGGAAATGTCAAATGATTTCCCACTGAGTGCAGTGGGGAGTACAAGCAGGTTGAAATTTTCCTTCCGAGCACAGAGAAAGCACATCCCCTGTTCACACTTTACACCCACCTAAGGTCCAGTCACAGGAAAGAAGAAAAATCTGATCCTGTTTAGTAACAAAGATACCTTTCCAGGCCTCCATGAGAAAACAAAACTTTTGGCAGATTTGGACATACTCTCTTTCCTTTTAATCTCCATTTTGACATTCTCCTTCTATTTGAGAAACTTGAAGATGAGTATGAGATCATTTTCATTAAGATTTTTTTTTTTTTTTTTTTTAAGCAAATTTCTTGCCTGGGTCTGAGATCTGAATTAATTCTTCCCATTCTTGCTGAGACACCGTCTGTTTTCACTGGCAGCCTGGTGAGACAGCAAAGCAGTCTCCCAGCGCTAGCCCCATGAGCCAGCACTGATGTTCTGACCTTGGTAGTCCTGTGCCCTCAGGATGGCAGGAATCCACTGCTAAGCTGGGCAATGCTCTCTGCCTTGGGGCCTGTCTGCTGACTGGTAGTAGTTGCCTTAAGAATTAAACAAGAAAAACCTACCAGCCTGAAAGGACCAGACAGAGAAACTGTCTTTAATGTTCTTTACACATCAACAAGGAGGAATGAGACTTCTCTTCATGTATCTTATAATGAACTTCATGTTAGAGGAAGATTTTGATCTATAGCAAGGACCTGCCTTTGACACTTTCAGCATGTTGTGTTCCTGGTAGAGCAGTAGAAGTTGGCTGTTGCTGTTGTGAGCACAGTGCTCAGAAAGGTGTAGAAAAAAAAAATCAGTATAATACTGAGTCTCAGAAAGGTGCAAAAAAAAAAATTCAGCATAATACTGAGTGTGGGAACCTTTGTTTTACCCTTGTACTGCTCTGGTACAGCACACCTTTGCTCTGTGCACACTCTAAGCACTAGTGACTGGAGGAATAGTCTATGCAACTGCCTGCTGATGCAACGCAGGTGACACCTTTGCTTCTCGGCTGGCTCCAGCTGCACGGGGATGCAAAGGAATTTCCTCATCCTCCATCTGCTGTTTAGCAAAGTTCACAAAAACCTGTGTGAGGAAAGCAGAAAATGTCACCATCTCATCAGCTGAGATGAGTTAGTGGAATGTCTCTGTACATTTGCATCCTCTTGGCCTTTCTGCAGGGAAGAGACAGAAAGGGGAATCCATAGACATGAACCGAACTGAGACACTGCATATCAGCAGGGATCATTAATTCCTTATTTATTTTGATAAACTTCCTTGCAACTTCCTTCCTTTGGATGCACTTTCTTGCAACTAAAATCCTATTTTTTCTTAAGCAGGAGATGGGTTCAGCAAGGTTTGCGTGGCTTGCACAATGTATGTGAGTTTGGTTGTGATGGGAAAGAGGAGGCAGAATATTTTAGCAGGAAGCTGTAAGGCAGCCAGGAATGTCTCTCTAGCATTCCCATCAATGACAGCTTTGCATATGTGCAGAACATATTTTCACTGAAAGGGCTGTCAAGCATTGGAATGGGCTGCCCAGGGAAACAGTCAAGGGACATGGTGCTTAGGGTAACGGTTGGACTTGATGATCTGAAAGGTCTTTTCCAACCTAAACGATGTTATGTGGACCCTCAGCTACTTAGGAAAGCAGGCAGGTGGGGCTCACACCCTCTAGCAAGTGGTTGTTGCCAACAGTCCCAGTGGACTCACCATGTTTTGCATGTCTAATTGCTCCTGTATAGAAGTGCATGACAGAGACATATAAACATTTAACTAGATAGCACAGTATCGCTGACACAAGACAGTCCAAATCTCTTGTTTAAAATAAAACATCATTCCCAGCTCAGCAAACCTCATTCTGAATAGCTGACCTTGCTCAGACTGCTGCTCCTGAAGGAATGGGTTGTATGAATTCTGGCATCTGGGAAACACTGTCTTATCAGCTTCCAAATGGCACCTATTTATGCAGTGAATTAATTACAGATTTCCTATCTGATCCACCCTCCTTGATGAAGGGTCTGGGAATTTTGCCTAAGAGGTGCAAGATAATTTTCTACTCTGAACAGCTTGGTCCTTCAGTTGTTTGCACACATCCCCATTGCCTTGCCTAGTTCTCACCGGACAGGCTTTCTCACGGATGCTTTATTTTTCACTTACCTGATCTAAAGTTGTTTGAGACACAGAATATTCCTCAATATGCAAGTTTTCCTTATTGGAGATTATTAACCGAAAAATCTTAGCCAGAGAGGAGGAGCAAATCTGATACTGCAGCATGTTGTAGTGTTTCTCTCTCTGTAAACTCCCTGGGAAGTTCATGCGTATGAATTGCTCAGCAGGCGTAGGGTCTGGAGGCAGCCCGGACTTTGGAGCTTTGATTTTCAGAGTGACAATGTAGCCATCTCCAAACCTGGGAAGCACGTGTGGATTTGGGAATTGGACGAAGAGATGGTTTCATTATTCAGGAAGGAAACTGATTTTCAGCAGCTATGAAAACATTAACTGTATCTGAAAGATAATGCATATGATGTAGCTTTGCAGGAAGCTCTGTATTTGCCCTGCAGACGTGGTGTGTAGCCTAACAGAGTTGAAACAAGATCTACTCAAATTGTCTAGGATACCACAGGGTTGCACCCAGAAATGGGTCTGTTTAAACAACACCTCTTCTGATTGGATTGCTGTATTAAGAATGGTACATGTCACATACACTAAGTTTTCACATTAAAAAACACCATAAAACTATTCTACTTACTTGTATTTTAGCTGCTGAATTGTGCCCAGGCATTTGAAGGTACCTTTTACCATGATGGCTAAACGAGTACAGAGGGCTTCACATTCTTCCATACTTTCAAAACAGAGAACAGATATTTGAGATAAAAGCCAGCAGATGATCTTCAGCTGCTCTGGGATTCTGAAGTCTCACTCTTTTTACCTGTGTGAGGTTAGAACCACAGCTCGCCCATCTCTGAGCACACTGACGATAGAGTCCCACAGGAGGCGCCGGGACTGCGGGTCCATTCCAGTAGTTGGTTCATCCTGTAAGGGAAACGTTAAGACAATCAGAGTCAGAGAAGCAGATAAAATCTATTTAGACTCAAGTCATTGTGTGTCTGGGCCTTAGCATACAGCTGCTTCCCTACTGAAATACGTGCCTTGAAAAAGCACATGCACCTTGAGAAGCATATGAGTGAATGGGTACTAACGCACGTCTTGGCACAAAGCAGTAAGGAAACAAGTAAAGGAACTGCAGGTAAGAATATAATGCTGTCTGTGCAGGGCAGAGCTCCAGGGAAGGGAATGCAGCGACCGTTGTGACAAAGGCAGTCCCCCGCCTTGGGTCTTAGATATCACAAATGTAAGCATTTGTGCTACCCCATTATAAAAACATTTAGGACTCAAAATAGAAATAAATGGAAAGAGGCTTATGCGGTAGCAGTTACTATAACAGTAGACATAATTGTGTCAAGTTTGTCTCCCATGTTTTGATGAACATTAGAGATGTAGGTAATATACTGGAGATACAAAGAAAAGAATCT